GCAGTGGTGACAACAATAAAGAATTCAGAGACCCAGTTAATCACAGAGCTTAACATTCTTTCTACTGATTGTGGTCAGGAAGTTAATAGATTTTCATCAGGTAGAACCTGATGAATAATATCCATTTTCAATTGCTGATCTCCAGTACCTGGTACTCCAAATTAAAGACAGCCAAAGTTTTCAATATCTGATTTAGAATAGATAAACCTCAATGGATTTAATTCAAAGGATATTTGTGTAGAGGACTCCTTCAGCACTAACTGTTAAGACTCTTTCAAGTCACCTCTCCTTCCCTCCCCCCCCCCCGGATTTATTTACACTGAAGGAATGATACATTCCAAGTTTTTTTTAATTTTTTTTATTAATAATACAAAATTAAAAACACATTGGACATAGATATGATGTCACTGGTTCCATACATCTTCCAACATTTTACAATAATATTAGTACTCATATAGACATATAGTTCTTGAACTTTACTCACTATTTATAATATACTATTAACACTTTTTCCCTTATTTCTATATGTCTATTTATCTTTTAAATATACATTTGTCTATAATCTATATTTTATTCTAGCACTATACATTTATCTTGGTTACCCTCTTATTGTCTATCCAATCATAAAATTGTTCCCAGATTTTATAGTACTTGGTTTCACTTTTGTCCTTGAGTTCCCATGTAAGTCTATCCATTTCACCGCAATTGAAAATTTTCAATAATATTTCCTCTTTGGTTGGAATATCTTTCTCCTTCCATTTTTGAGCGAAGGCTATTCGTACCGTTGTTACTATATGCAGTAGTAAATAATTTGTGTCTTTCTTATATTTTCTTTCTATAATTCCCAATAAGAAAAATTCTGGTTTGCCTTCTATATCTATTTGCAAAATTTCTTCCAACCACTTCTTTAATAAGTTCCAAAATTTTTGTGCCTTTGGGCATTGCCACCACATGTGGTAGTAATTCCCAATGGTCTCTTCACACTTCCAGTATATTGAGGATTTCCCCTTGTTCATTTGTGCTAGTCTTGTGGGAGGGAAGTGCCACCTATAAAACATCTTATAGAGGTTTTCCTTATAGGAGGTTGCTAGAATAATTTTTAGATTTTTTCGTCATAAACTTTGCCAAGTATCCAAATCAATTTTGTGTCCAAAATATTTACATCAAATTATCATCGTTTCTTTCACCTGTTCCTCAATCATATCTTGCTCTAATAAATTTTGATATAATTTACTTATAGTCTTGCCTTCCCTGCTAAATAAGATTTTATCTAATTCTGAAGAGTCTTGCTTTATACCCCATTCCTTTTTGTCTTTATTAAATTTGGAGTGAATTTGAAGATACGCCCACCATTCCAGATCAATTCCTTCTTCCTTTAAGGTATTATTTTAATTCTCCTTTCTCATTCAAAATATCTTTATAGGTGACAGCACCCCCACGTTTTATCAGATCTGGATGTGTATACATTGCCAATGTAGACACCCAGTTGGGGATTTTCCTATAATTATTTCTTTTTATTTTTTTCCAGATATCCAATAATGCTCTCCTAATATAATGCTTCCGGAAGTGTTGCTGGACTAAATGTCTTTCTTCCCACAAAGTAGCATGCCACCCTGTCGATACATTCCAAGTTCTGATGCCTAAGGTTTTGCTATAATGTTCCCAGGAATCCCCCAAATCTCAGATGGAGAATTTTTGTTATTGGATGTTGTATAAATCAGATGGCTAAATGGATGGCTGAATGGATCCATTTCAGTAATAATTCTGTAGGGTGCTGGCTTTGTTCCGAAATGTATCAGAAGGGATAATTTAGGAAATTCAATAGCCAGTACTCCCTTTTTGGATTTTAACTTATTTCAAGACCCAAGAAAGTGTGCAAAGTTGTGGTGCTAAGACTTTATATGGTAATCTAATTATTTAAAATTCTTTACCAGTGGCTGTAACTTAACTTTGGCAGCACGTCCTTTCTCTAGGAGCTTCTCAATCCTCACTTCATATTGCTAAGGGATGCTTTCCAGAAATGTTTTGAGAATCTCAGATGGCTCTTGTGGAGAGGAAATATTTTTTTTTCCTCCATAAGACTGCAGCCCTAATCATCTGTGAGATAGCATTCCACAAGTCATGTAATGTACTATATTTGCCATTGAAAGAGAGAATTTCAACATCAGTGAGGGAAATGTAATATCTGGTCCATCTTACTACAAGATCTAGCAGCCTCCAAGACCAACTGTTCAAAATCTGAAAACTTTTATAGTGGGAAATAGAGGAGAAAAGACCATAGAGGGCAACCCATAGCATAGTCAAATTTTCTTAATCAAGGAATTTTTGCAAAGATGTTTGGTGCAGACAAAGGCCAATCACTTAGTGGACAGCAGATTTTCTTAGCAATTACATCAATCTGTCCCTTGTGCTAAGTTTTCTGAAAATAGTGATAGCCGATAGACACATTCTGAACAAAGATCAATGCTTTCTGCGAAGATTTGGATATTCCTTTGGCAATTCTATCAGGCAGCTGACTGCCAACAATGAAATTTGTGAACTTAACAAGATCAGGGTACAAGGTGGGTATACATGTCAGACTTATTATTTGACAGAAATGTGGGATGGAATGATCTGAGTCTGATTGACAAATTTAGCGAAGAACCTGGTGTTGAAATGAGAGATAAATTGATAAGATAAGATACCCCAGTTAATTTGGAAGAGCAGTTGCAAAGTTGCATTGTACCAAATGGCTGACTGGAAATGTTGAGATACCAGAGAAATGTCAAGAGGAAGATATTTTACAGTCTTTCTTCATTTATGACTTCTGCTGATGGCTTCTTTGGAATCAAGTGCCAGAGAACCCATACATGTTGGAGCCATCAAAAGATCTTTGTTCTCAGGGGAAAAACAGAGAAGGAGAAAACTAGATTTATTTGTTTATTTTACTTCTTTTAGTTCAGATAATTTATATAGCTACTTGAATAAATGTCCAAATTCTGGAGACAAGACAATATCCCTTTGATATTTAAGAGTTAGTCATCATAAAGGAATTTCTGGATACAATTTGAATAAAGATTTATTTGCCCTTTCATTTCTCCAATACCTGCATCCACAATATTCATCTATAAGAGGGATGAGATTCTGTCAGGATCATTCATGGTTATAGACTTCTAAGCCAGGAGGGACTTTTGGGAAGGTACTGTCCACTCAATACTTTTGCACATAGACCACAACAATTTGGTTCTGCAGAAAATGTAATCCTCACTCCTTGACAGTTGAAGTGGACACATTTTCCCCCATTTTATCATATTTTCCTGGCTCACAGAACTAGCTTCCACATACTCTATCATGTAAACCTGAATATGTTATTCTTTGCTCATCTCCCTGGCCTCAACTGAATAAGAAGTCCTAATTAGGTAGAAAACGCCTATCTCTATGTTATAAAATATTTCATATTTCATATTTTAAGTGTGTATGCCGTACCAGAAATTTATAAAATGATTTTATAAACTAAATTGATTGCTTATAGTAGTCTTCAATATGACAGATTCACATCCCCAATAGAGAAGATATAACAGCAACCTACTTTGATTAGTCTGAAAAATGAAGAATTGGATGGATGTTTCTTCTTTTCTACTGTGTTTGTTATTTATATAACATGAAATAGGCTTCATAACTAATCTCCTGGTTTGGATAAATTTAATCAAGTTTATTCAGCTATGTACAATGCCTTATTTCCCATCAATCTATAGATAAATCAACATCCTTTGGATATTCTTATTCCTTTCTACAGAATTAGTGATAATTCGCTTTGCATCTCTTCTACAGGAACACTTAAAACACTTTAAAAAAATTTCTGATATGAATTCACATCTCAAAAACATTACTTGAAATATTCCTTAATGTGTATATTAGAAGACCTTTGTGTACTAAATTACATTATGTAGGAAGAATCATTATGTTTTAAAAGAGTACATTAATGAAAAGTGCATGCAAAAGCATTTTATAGCTAGGAGAAATATGCCAAAAAGGTATATAGATTTTCTTGTATGTTGCTTGAATTCACAGATTGAAGCAGAAACAGCTGAAGCGCTACAGTCCAGAAAATGAGAAAGTGAATGATACTGAAATTGACAGATTTGTCTATCTCTAAGGATAAGATGCAATGTTGATGTGATAAATTCCATGACACATCATATCTCCTTTGTGCTTTGTGTCAGACTATGACTGCATTGCGAACATCTAGCTTTTCGGTTGGAAGAGATACTTTAATTCAGGGGTGTCCAACCTTGGCAACTTTAAGACTTGTGGACTTCAACTCCCAAATTCCCCACTGGGAATTAGCCACTGAACTACCTGCTGGGGAATTCTGGGAGTTGAAGTTCACAAGTCTTAAAGTTGCCAAGGTTGGACACCCCTGATTTAAATAGAAAACATTGAGTCATGTGGCATCCATTTAGGTATGCTAAATAGAGTTTTACTACGTCAGTGAGACCTAGACTGTTCATTGAAGGGGAAAAAAAGACATTTCTGGTTTTCTTGAAATTAGAAGATCTCTATTCTGGGTCTTCTAATCTCCCAGGTGGTTAGAGTCTCATGGGCTGAGAGCAACGTTGAACATGCTGGTTCTGTTCTGTCTCTGTGACACTGCCTTCCCATGAGTGTGGGCAAATATCTGAGTAGAGTTTCTGTATGTGTCACAGGTCATGCAAGAAAATTACCAAGAAAAATGAGAAATTGCCTGTGTATCTAAAGACAGGTGATGGAATATTGATGAAGAGAAGGAGGTGATAATAGAACTGGAATGCTTGTTTCTAAGAACATAATTCTCAACTTGTATATGATCATGTCCATGTCTCTCTCTCTCTCTCTCTCTCTCTCTCTCTCTCTCTCTCTCTCTCTCTCTCTCTCTCTGTCTCTCTCTGTGTGTGTATGTGTGTGTGTGAGAGAGATCAAAACAACTGACTATAATCTGCAACTTAAATGTTTCTCCTGTTCTGTGACTTACAACACCTGAACAAGGATCCAACTAAACATGTGCTAGCTCTAGAAAAAGAGATTCAGTTCTTAGTCTAGTTTCAATAACAGTGTTTTGAGCTTAACCTAGACTTTTTTTTTACCTAAAGTATCATTGAAGACTTTTATCCAAGGATATTTTGTTTGAGATATTTATTCTTGTCCTCAATATTTCAGATAGGTCTAGCTAGATGTGAAAAAAAAATAGAAATCATGTTATGGGTTATTTTAATGGACATATTGCTTTCAACTGAGTTTTCACCATCTGTTCTACTCTTAATTTTGAATGCAGAATGAGTATATTTCATAATTACATCTGTATATAATTAGATAGGCATTTTAAATACACATATATGTTCTCACAGTGCAGCAAGCAGCTGGGATGTCTCCTCTCCCATACATTTCAAGCAGAAAATGAAAGGAGTCCCATGAAAGCCTCTGCTTTTATATGGCAAATTTCTCTGCATTCTAGTGAGCATTTTCTAAACAAACAAGGGCTTCCAATAAACTCACTTTGGTATACTTAGGTATACCAAAGCTTAGCTCAGTAAACTATATCAGAAAGTCATTTTTACTGTGTTTTCCTTGTCTTCATCCCAATTCCCCCCCCCCCCAACATGAATGCCAGTTTGGCAGATGCAAAGCATTAGATGGATTTGTTTTCAATTGATGTTCAGTAAAAGATTGATAAGCTACATAGGACAAGCTGCAGTATTTTCTTCTCAGTTTATTGCTATCCTCTTATGTTGTTTGTTAATTTGTTTCTTTATTTAATTCAGTTTGGGTGCACCTGATCCCAACTGACTCAGTTATTGTCCTAAACCAGCAGTCTCCAAACTCAACAACTTTAAGACTTGTGCACTTCAGCTCCCAGAATTCCCCAGCCAGTATGGCAGGCCACAAGTCTTAAAGTTGCCAAGCTTGGAGACCCCTGTCCTAAGTCATTCTGCTTCAAAAGTAGTCTTCTCCTACACCATTCGTGGAAGACATCAGATGTATTCCTATAAAAACTGTAGCCTCTCACCTGCCATTCAGTTCCCCAGAATTAGAGTTAGTAATATTTTAATACTTTACCAAACTGGCATTGAGTAATATAGAATTGTACTTACTTAACAATTAAACACTACTTTCATTTCTTGCTGCCTTGAATAATTACAATTTGGTACTCCAGTTCTTACCAGTTTTGCTTCTTCTTTCTCCCCATTTCTGTCTAAATTGCACCCTTATTTGATCCCACTTCCATCCCCTCTGCCTCCACCATCCACAATATGGTTGCTGAATTGTACCTGTATAGCTGGTCCTTGACTGTAATAGAGTTTCAAATTGAGTTGAAATTTGAACATAGTTGCACTCCAGGGATTCTAGAGAGCTACCAGTTGAAAGTAAGGAAAAATGAGTTAGTTTGCATTTTAATATAAGTCTACTTGATTTGCATTTCTTGAAACTATTCAGGAATTGTAACATAGATTTATGTAAAAACCTGTAGTTTGTTTAAATTAGGACATAATGATGTAACATTAAGGATGAATATTGAATATACACTAATATGTGTGCAAAGGGAAGGTGCTCAAACTATGATGTCAACGAAATTTGGGGGGAAATGGGGATGTTATCTAATTGCATACAAAAATGTCTAGAAAGAAATGTACATGAACATACATATAACAAATATTTGTCAGAACTTAGAAAAACAAATATCTATAAAGATGAGTCAAACAAACTTGAAGAAATATGGAAAATTAGAAATTGAAACCAACCTGATTTTAATAATATTGGCCTTCCTTCCTTCCTTCCTTCCTTCCTTCCTTCCTTCCTTCCTTCCTTCCTTCCTTCCTTCCTTCCTTCCTTCCTTTCTTCCTTCCTTCTATGACAGGGAGCACTTAAGGCTGCAGTGGTCAAAGCAGTAATATTATCAAGTGAATAAGCAGGGGTTTCAGCTATTTGGGGAATAAGATTATGTGGAAAAGGGACACATTTTCAGATATATTAAACTTAAATAAAGGTCTATATTTTCTGTTTCTTCCCACTGCAAACAGGAAATTGCACACTTGCTTCTTGGTAATTTACAGCTGTAATTTGGCAATTTCAGTGGTAACAACAAAAAAGAATTCAGAGACCCAGTTAATCACAGAGCTTAGCATTCTTTCTACTGATTGTGGTCAGAAAGTTAATAGATTTTCATCAGGTAGAACCTGATGAATAATATCCATTTTCAATTGCTGATCTCCAGTACCTGGTAATCCAAATTAAAAACAGCCAAAGTTTTCAATATCTGATTTAGAATAGATAAACCTCAATGGAATTAATTCAAAGGATATTTGTGTAGAGGACTCCTTCAGCACTAACTGTTAAGACTCTTTCAAGTCACATCTCTTCCCTCCCCCCCCCCCGACTTATTTACACTGAAGGAATGATACATTCCAAGTTCTGATGCCTAAGGTTTTGCTATAATGTTCCCAGGAATCCCCCAAATCTCAGATGGAGAATTTTTGTTATTGGATGGTGTATAAATCAGATGGCTAAATGGATGGCTGAATGGATCCATTTCAGTAATAATTCTATAGGGTGCTGGCTTTGTTCCAAAATGTATCAGAAAGGATAATTTAGGAAATTCAATAGCCAGTACTCCCTTTTTGGATTTTAACTTATTTCAAGACCCAAGAATGTGTGTAAAGTGGTGGTGTTAACACTTTATATGGTAATCTAATTATTTAAAATTCTTTACCGGTAGCTGTAACTTAACTTTGGTAGCTCATCCTTTCCCCAGGAGCTTCTCAATCCTCACTTCATATTTCTCAGGGAAGTTTCCAGAAATGTTTTGAGAGCCTCCGATGGGTCTTGTGGAAAGAAAATAAGAACTTTCTTCCTCCATAAGACTGCAGCCCTAATCATCTGTGGGGTAGCATTCCACAAGTCATGTAATGTACTATATTTGCCATTGAAAGAGAGGATTTCAACATTAGTGAGGGAAATGTAATATCTATTTTTCCACAAGATAACAGAATAACAGAGTTAGAAGGGACCTTGGAGGTCTTCTAGCCCAACTCCTTGCTCCAAGACCAACTATTCAAAATCTGGAAACTTTCATAGTGGGAATGCCAAAAGAGAGTCTACTAGGAGTTGAGTAGAGTAGGAGGATTTGGGGCCCAAATATCCCAGATCAAGATTATGTTTAGACTATTGTAATAGTATATAAGATTAGGGGAGAAGGCTAATATAAAATGATGGCACAATTATAAATTTCTCTCTTCTCTAACTTCAGAATGCCAGACTAGAACAAACAAATTAAATAACAACACAGAGGAATTCCCTATTTACAGTTTAAACTCATTTATATTTATATTATAGGTGGTCCTCACTTAATATGGTAGATATATATATATATATATATATATATATATATATATATATATATATATAATTTGTTTTCTAAGGTTTTCGTGGGTGTTTGTATGTAGGTCTTTAGTTATTCGGGTTTTTCCCTGCGTAAAATTGGAAGTGTCTTGGTGATGTTTTGACGAAGTCCTATTTGTCATCTTCAGGCTGGTGTTTTCGGCTTCGTGCTTCTAGGAGCAATGTGTGATCATAGCTGTTTCTTCCTTTTAACTGGCTTCTCTGATTATTCTGTTATTAAAGTGTTCAGTTTTAGTGATAGATTACCAACCTAATCCAAAAAGAAATCCCCACTAAAATCCAAGACAGAGAACAAAAAAACGGCAAAGCCCTCCTCCCATACATAAAAGGCACTACAGACAGAAACAGCAAGATCCTCCACAAACACAACATCAAGACAGCATTCTGCACAAACAGAAAAATATCCACCATCCTAAGAAACCCCAAAGACAAAATTGAGTTAGAAAATCAAGGAGTATATGAAATCCCATGCACTGCTTGCCCCACCACATACATCAGACAAACCAACAGAAGAATAAGTGCACACATTGAAGAACACAAGAACTCAGTCAAAAAAGAGGAACCAACTTCTTCCCTGGCTCAACACCTTAAAGCCACAGGACATGAAATTGACTTTAAAAAGACCAGAATTATCGCCAAAACTGAACACTTTAATAACAGAATAATCAGAGAAGCCATCGAGATAGAAAAATGCCCACACAGCATGAATAAACGAGATGATACCTCCCGCCTACCAGCCATTTGGAAACCCGCCCTTATTGACAAACGAATCCCTAACAAAAAAAATGATACCAGACTCACACTCACGAAAACCACACAGGATGTCACCACCACACATCCACGCAAAAAGCAAACCCAAACCCACACCGATGATGAGGCATGACCATAAACCAGAAGCCAGACCACAGCTGCATCATTAGCCACTTTAAACCCCTCCAATCCATACATAAAGCAAACTGACACCCACCAAGTTGCGGATTGTTCGGCTGTTTCGTAATATCCTGAGTAGCTGAGGTGCTGGCTATGTGCCCATTAGTCTTTTGTGTTGTAATGACCTGGGTAATGGGTTGTGTGATGACATCCTGAGATCCGCAAACAATAACTCCAACACAGCCAACCAACCCACCTACAGCAACTAAGCCAGCACCCCCCCCACACACCAATATTTATAGAGAGACAGCAGCTCTGATCACACTCTGCTCGCACAAGCACAAAGCCGAAGACCCCAGCCTGAAGATGACGAGTGGGACCTTGTCGAAACGTCACCAAGGTACTCTCAATTTTACACAGGAAAAGACCCAAATACGCCAAGAGCTGCATACCTGTACCCGTGAAAATATATTTATAAATTGTTTTTGTAATTTTACAATAACAATCTTTAATATTTAGTAAGCAACATGTTGTCTGGGTTTACATATTTAACATTAGTAGTAATATAGTTTCCATTCCTATCCTTTATTCCATTTTTATAAAATTTTTCCCATGTTTGGAAATATTCTGAATCTTGGTTCCCTTTCACTTTCAATGTGAGCCTATCCATTTCTGCACAGTCCAAGATTTTCTTAATTATATCTTCAGGTGGTATTTCTTCATTTTTCCAATATTGAACAAATGTAATTCTCGCTGCTGTTAATACATGTAATATTAAGTATACACATTCTTTATCGTAATTTTCAGAAATTATACATAAAAGAAATAGTTCCAGTTTGTAGTCTACATGTGCTCCTCTCATTTTCTCTAGCTACCTATGTATTTTTGACCAAAAGTTCTTTGCTTTAGGGCATGTCCACCAAAGATGGTAATATGTGTCTGGATTTTGTCTACATTTCCAACAATTGTTAGATACAATATTTTTAAACATTTTTGCTGGTGGTAAGTGCCATCTATAGAACATTTTATATAAATTTTCTTTATAAGTAGCTGCCCTTGTTATTTTGGGGTGGGGAGTTGAAGAGAAGGAAGAGTTCCTTTATCATACAAAGGCTGGGAGGAACTAAGTAGGGAATGACTTTGCTTGGAATGAATCCTCGCCTAACCATCAGTAGAATTTAATTAACAAAGGCAAAAGGAACTACCAGGACTGTCATTGCTAAGCATTATACTTTATGATTGTGTTGGAATCCATTTAACAATGGAAATTTCAAAACCAATTAGGGTTGTAAATTGAAGATTACCTATAAAGATTACCTATAAAGCCCTTTGTTTCACCGTTCTTATATATTTTAATGATAAAGGATTTTGTTGAGATCAACAATTTTGTAAAGAAAACAGTAAATATGACCAGAGCTGAGCCTTAGATTAGAAAATGCACATTATCTCTGACCAGCAAATATATATATTTTAAATGATTATTCTTCTTTGATCCAAATCATTGTTAATCTGTTTTAACTGATTCAGTCTAACAGACACCAGACAAAAACATTCTTGCTTATATATTTTTCCCCATTAAATAAATGTAGAAGGTAAAGACAGACGGGGCAACTTTAGGAAAGTCTGAAGCCATATGGACAATTGTATATTGATATTTTCCTTAGGGAACAATCTATTTTGAAGTAAGTTCTGCTTAACAAATTATTCTATTCATGCCATGCTGCAAATGGGGGAATGGTTTAGCATCTCATCAAACATGTACAACAGCCAGTCAAAATATAACTGTCTGGATGGGTTATGTCACAAAAAGAAATAGCTGAAGGCACAGCATATTCGAAGTAGTCTATTTCAACATTCTGTGGGACCAACACAAGAGATCATTGTCAAACTAGTCAAAATGCCAGTGGATATCCTTTCAAAGAAATGCAACATTACCAGCTCTGTTGGCAATGATGCACTAACTGATGGTCAAGATAGATGCCAGTCATTTGCAAGAGTAGATTGAATGTGCCACCTATACTAGGAGCACCAGCAACTGTGCTGTACCATAACCAATACACAAGGAAAATCTCACAACATACTAAATCTCACAACATTGACTCACAACATACTAAGATCATTGAAAGTTGTTGCGTCAGATGGAAAATTACCATGTGTTAATTAGCAATTTGCAATTGTTTTTTTAAATTAAAATTAGTAAAAAAAAACCCTACTAAACATTTAAAAATAAGTAAAGTACAGTGGTCTAAAAGGAAGATGGAGAATGTAAGAGAGATATGAGCAAAGAAAAATGTGAAAAGTTTCAAAGTTTATAGCCAAAAGTATGCTTTCTACATTTCTAGGTCTGAGCTTTCATGCTTCAAACCCCAGAATAGCTATGAAATAGCTTGAGTAATCTATAAAAGTTATAGTTAAGAATGGCTTTATTATAGTAGGTTTAAAGTGAATGGTAAGTGAAGCCATTGATTTTCCAGGTGGTGCCCATGTCCACTTAAGAACTCATCTTTCCCATTGTCAAAGGTATG